TTGTTACTCTAGTTAGTCAAGGCATATATAGCGCACCGGACACTCGTTTCATCTCGTGATACCTCAGTGGATATTTCACTTTCCAATGGTAGTGAAGACATCTGGAAGTAGCCTGAGTGGTGGATGGGTCCAAATGTCATTTGGAACAGAGCTGTGCAGTGAAAGATGAATATTGTGCAGATGCAGTCCAGCTGTTTCATAAATTATATCCTAGCATTTGAAGCAATTCTGGTCCTCCGATAGTGTTTGCGAGTGTGTGTGTGTGTGTGTGTGTGTGTACACGTGCACATACATTACGTGTATGTATGTGTGCATATGTATATGTGCACATACATTACATCAATGTTTTTATGCATGTGCACGTGTGTTTATGTACTCATATACTTATGGATGTGTGCATGCGTACGTATGTATGTATGTTTGTACGTACACATGTATGTGTGTATGTATGCGAATGTTGGAATGTAATGGAAGCAGAACACTGAGCCTTTTGAATTGAAATCGATTTTAGCTAGCTTTATTTTCGTCTATATTTGGTTACAGTCGAAAGCAGTGTTGCAACATCGCTCAATTCCTAAGCCTTATTTTCCGAATTTCTACATTTTCGTCTTAGCGTTGATTTCGGGATGATATCGCATCCTATTCTTTCTCTTCCGCTAAACGCATGAATAGAAACTATATAAATTTTGATATTACTAAGATTACTGTCGTTATGTATGCATTTGTATGTGTGTATGTGATGTATGGAGTGTGTGTATAGGTTCATGCGTGTATGTGTGGGTATTTATGTGTGTATGTGTGTGCATGCTTGCATATGTGAGTGTACGCATTTGTATGCTTGCGCGCGGGTGCGCGTGTTTGTATTATTTTGTGTGTATGTGTGTGTATGATGTATCGTGCATACATGCATGTGTGTTTGCATAAGTATGCGTGTATGTTTGTGTGTGTTTGTATATATGTAGTATATGTGTGTGTGCGTAGTGTACCGTGTGTGTATGTATGTGTTTGTATGTGGTGTGTATGTTTGTTTGAAGCTAGTCTTTTATTGCCAGCGCCAGCTCCCTTTCCAGAAACTGGTCATTCTGTCCCATAAAGTAGCCCTTGCCTGGATGAGTGTGCCACTAAAATCGATTATTTTCTATTTCAAAATTCATTTTCAGTGATATTTTCAAATGTTTGGCTGAATTTGTGGATATTCGAACAGATTACAGCAGTTTTCGCTTCTAACGCTTATTTCTAAAATAGTGTTGTGCACTTATAAAGATTGTTTGATTATTCACTGTGTGATCAGTGATGTTACTTAGACACTTGTTATCGCTAGCTGTTGCTAATTTACTGCCCTGTGTTGACCATCTTCTCAATCTTGTCTAAGGCGAATCGAGTGGTCAGCAAAGCGATTATCGCCCGGTCACTCATAAGGAACCGCAAAGAATCTTGATAACAACGAGATAATTTAATTTCCCTGCTTGACATTATCAATTCTGGCTGGGGTTCTTTCGTCCTTTATTTTCATCCTATTAATTTTGTTGTACAAGTATTAGTGAGCAAATAGCTCAGCGTTATTCCAACAGGCTTGCATCTACATTCCATTAACAACCGATTTACAAAAACCGAATTTCCGAGCTCTGTTTAGTGTTGGTAACCGGTAATAGCAATAATCGATATAAGAAATAACGTTGCTATATCAAGTATAAGTTGAAATAGAAGATGGATTGGAACTTGAAATAAAATTCGTTAAATATTTTTCCTTGATATGCCTAGTCATTTAGTGTCACACTTTTTTTTGTCGTTGATAATATAGCTGACAGCTTCGTTCTTACCTGTTTTGGACTCCTCTCACCCATATGATTCTATATAAGCCTTCTGGGGATCTTTCCATGGCATTGGCAGTCTATCTTCTGTCCCTTCTACACTGACTTGGTATCTCTCAGTGGTTAGCTTTGTCCACATTTTTCTCCTCATTCTTACCATTGAAATCCCAGCTCTTCTTAGTGGCTTGTTAACACCGTTTGGGTTAAACCGGAACCGTGGTACTTTTGTGACGATACATTGCGGCTTGCGGACAATCATTATGCACCATTCAGTGGTGAAAAAAAAAAAATCATTTGTAATAGAGGAGAAAAAGAAAATGATTGAAAATATGATCTTTGATCTATCACGAAATTGATGCAGTTTAAACGAGGCATTTCAATTAGAATCCGTCCAGCACTCATTTATGCATCTTAAAGAGTGATAAAGCAAAAGACCAAAAGATAAGGCAGTAGGCCTCTGAATGTAGAGACTGAAGGGAAGAAAAGAAAGCTTAGCATGAGTAAGGGCCAGAATCAATATATGGGAGAGCAGCATGTACATACAGCACAAAAACTTCTAGCATAAAATTTTTTTAAAATGTATCGTAAAGTGCATTATGAATAATAAGGCCACACGGGCAGTCAATATGGATATTCCACGTTAATGATGGCGCTGAGATTCCCCTACACGCCGGGCTAAACCTTTCAATCCTGACTGCACATCTTCGCAGTTAAACTCACCGTTTGTTCGATGTATGTGCGCCTCTCTTCAGTGGTCATCCGAGTTTACTTTCTCTTAAGTACCACTCACTAATGCATGGCATCTAATGGTTGTTGGCAAGCCGAGCATCATGTCCTGCTCATCGGATTTTTACTACCTCACGTGATTTTTTAAATAATTCGTAAAATGGCATAAAAATTTAGCATAAATTTTTGTGCTATTTGAAAAATGAAAATAACACAAAAATAGCATTTTTTTAAATACTCGGGAAAAAGCATCAAAAATGCATGAAAGTGCAAAAAATTAGCAAAAAAATCTAGAAAAAGAACGCAATAAAAAGACTGTATATCAGTGCAGAAAGTCAGAACTTGTTTCTTAGTCTTTCAGTCCGGTTTCGTCACTGTTTCAAACGTGCAGTCATGTTTTTGGGACAACGTAGATCTCAAGCGACCACAAACAGGCATGCTCTTCCAACGCTCACCGCGGGTTCCTTCCTGTGCATTGCACTTTGTATGTTTGGCGTAAATTGATTGTGTTTATATTTCTCTTTTCCAGAAATATGAACGTTCCGTACGATTTAAGCGCATATTTTCCCGATATGCCTATCCAGAGACTTGACAGTGTGACGCTTAGACGACTAAATCCACGGAAATGCTGGATTGTTGAGAAAACAATCAATAGCATGGGAACACTTTCGGCAACGGTAAGTTTTGATTACTGGATTATTTATCAAGATTAGTAAGTCCACTTGAACAGTTAGCAAATCTACCTGAATCCAGTGTTAGTGATGTTAATGGGACGTATTCAAGCGACAGGCAAAACCGGTGATCTCTGAACTGTGCGTGTCCGGAATCATTTTTCGGATCACTGAACCATTCTGGATCATTTATTTCAACAGAAAGTAACAAATGCACTGAATGAAGATAGTTTGTTCAGCCAGAGTGATCAGCAGCTACATCAGCTAACGTGGACGACAATTTGCCTACTTCAAAACTGCTTACCCTAAGCATTTGCTATATTTTTTGGCTAATAATGAACGCGGAGAAGAGGCGAAGAGGGAGGGATGCAAAAGAGTTCCGAAGAATCTGAGTTCGATTGAGAGCATGGGCGAGGACCGGGAGATCGAGATTTATGGCTGCCCAATTCAGGATTAATTAAATGTGCCAAAAAACGGAACAGGGATTATTGGGAATCCATTCATGTGGTCAGGATTCTAGGTCATTCTCAT